GTAGACGATAATATGAATAAGAGATTGGACTGGACATAGAACAATGGCAGGCAATGCAGCAGGAGGAGCACCAATTGTACTGGTGTTGTTGTTGTTGTTGTTGTTGGGCCCAACATCTGCAAATGGTGATGATGTCAGGGCTCAGGCTTCAAGTTATTTTGCACCACAGGAGCAGGTAAGGATCTCGGCTATTAGTATGATGAGTGCAGTCTTATTAGAGTATTCACCACCAAGAAAGCAGAGCCCCTAGCGATTGATAAATCATCCACGGGTCATGGCCACGGCTTTGACCGTCCAACAACCCTTCAGCTGCCAGAGGAGGAGGCCGCCTTCAGACGGCCTTTGGCCGCTTCCACATCCTCCAAAAACTTCTGGGTCTCCGTCGCCACACGGAGCATGAACTCGTCGAAGGAGGCTTTCGATAGGGTCGTAGAGCCATCGGGGTGCTCCTTGAAATGCACGAGGTGCTTCATGTCAGCCTGGTTTTGGGTGCTCTTCACATAGTTCGCTTTCAAGGACTTCCAGTTCTCGGGCGAGGTGTGCTCCAGCCTTAGCAATAATACTGGAGAAGGCTTGATAAGGGGTGTCATTTATGTTTTGGTTTAGGCTTCAGGACTCAGGGTTATTATCATGCAATAATAATCCTTAACATGGCTATCTCGGGGTGTGTGTGCTTCTTTGGCCAAAAAAAACATGCAGGCAGCACTTATTACTACCCCAGAATATATAATACACACAACAAACTATGAATCGCAAAACCCAGTAGCTTCGGAATGAGCTTCAAAGCATCGGCTTGCATCTTCGTCTGGGCATCGATGGCTTCATTGAGAAGGCCCGACATGGAAGCGGGGAGCTTCCCAGACTCAATTTTCTCATGGTTCCTGTAGCTGAACTTCCACCCAAGGGAACTATACATGTCAGCTAAAAGATCTGCCGCCTGAGCATTGGGCCGACTTTGGCGAGTCAGCTTGGACTTGTGATTCGTCCCAGTCTCTTTCCCGGTCTCGAGCTTCCTGTAGGCGAAGTACTTGACCTTGCTGTTCGGGTTGGTCGGGTCCTCCACCTCCTGGATATCGCCGCAATCAAGCGCAGCCTGAAAGGCCGTTTCTGAGTTTTGAAAATACAAGCCTTTCATCACGGACCTCGGATAGGCCAGGGCACGGTCCGTGGAGTATTTTCGCTCGTATAGCTCCTTGACTTCGGTGAATAGCGGCTTGTCGTCCCGTAGCTGGAAACGTCCATTGGCCTTCCGTTCGAACAAGGAGTTTATGACCTGTGTTCTGAAGTCCCGTGGACTGGATTTGGACTTTGCCACCTCGTTGTAAAGGTGCTTGATGTGGGGCGGCAAGCTATCCGACCTGAGCATGGCCGCGAACTTCTCCCCTTTCCCCTTGTCCCGAGCACTATCGCCCGCATCTTCGTCGCTCGGCAGCTCCTCCTCATCGTGCTGCTCCTCCTCGCACCCGGCCTTCATCTTCCCGATCGTAGCCTTGAGACCTCCTGCGGCCGCCGGCTTCTTCATTGTTTCCACAAACTTGCCCTTCTTCGCAATAATCCTCGCCGTCTCGTCAGCAGAAGGCCTCTTGAGCATCTTCGATTGGGCCGGCATGTTGTTGACAACCACAACAACAACAACAGAACGACGAGGCACCGAAAGGATCACCCGGTCTTGAGGCTGCAGCCACCACCCCAGACAAGAAGTGCTCTCAAAGGTGCAAGCCCAAGGTAACCCAGCATAACTCTCGACAGCAGACGAAGTTGTTTGGGGGTAGCAGTAGTAGTAGTAGTAGTAGTAGTAGTAGCAGCAGCAGCAGTGGTAGTAGTAGTAGTCGTCGTCGTCGTGGTAGTAGTAGTAGTGGT